GGAGATTACCAGAGGGTATGAGCTCATATTTAAGAAAGATTCTCTAGAACAGCACTGCATAAGGGTGGACAAATCCTTATATGGACTGAAACAAAGCGGAAATATGTGGGATAACCGGTTACGTGAATATCTCATCAGAGAAGGCTATAAAAACGATCCGATCTGTCCATGTTTTTTTTTCAAGGAGACTGCAAGCAAGTTATTTGTCATGATAGAAGAAACACAGAATGATTTAAACCTCTGGGTAATCGCCCAAACAGTTGAGTATATCTAAAGAAAGAATCTCAAATGAAAGACCTAGGCAATAATTAAGTTCTGTTTGGGATTACAACCTGAGTACGTGAATAATGGAATCCTTGTGCATCAAATGGCATACACTGAAAGAGTACTCAAGGAGATTTAATAAGGACCAGGCCCGCCCATTGACCAGGCCCAATGGTGGTGAGAAGCCTCAGATTGGATAGTGATCCATTCAGTCTGGAAATTCCATACCTCAGTGCCATAGAAGTTCTAATGAATTTGGCTAGACACACTAGACCAAACATTTGTTTTGCCGTGAGTCTTCTGTCTAAATTTAGTTCATGATCAACCCAAAGGCACTGGAAAGGTTTAAAGGAAGGTTTGATTAAGTTTTAAAGTCTATTCTTCCTGCGTTGTTTACTTGGGTTTATTCTATACTGATCTAACCAAAGAAGGACCAGTTTGCTTTGGTTTAGTTTGATTTACTAATGCAGGATATTCATAAGATCAGATTATGGTATGGTCAATGAATAGGAACTATGTGTGGCTTGATCCCTTCCAAGGGTACGTAGGCAGCCTTCCTTAAGGCGCATCTACTACTACATCAAAGATCATCATATTTGAAGACAACGCAGCCTGTATTGCTCAACTCAAGGATGACTACACTAAGAGAGACCGGACGAAGCACATTTTGCCAAAGCTCTTATTCACTCATGAATTACAGAAGGACGGTCAGGTCAAAGTTCAACAGATCCGGTCAAGTGAGAATTCAGCCGACCTATTCACCAAATCATTGCCGACTTCAACGTTCCGGAAGCTCATTCATCAGATCGGGATGCGCGGACTTAAGGATCTACAGTGATGCTCAAATCAGGGGGAGTAATGCGTGTTGTACTCTTTTTCCTTCACCATGGTTTTGTCCCACTGGGTTTTCCTGGTAAGGTTTTAATGAGGCAACATTCCCCAGCGCATTATAGAGATCCCGGTTTAGTATCGGGCACGGTTATGTCTTCCAAGGGGGAGTGTTATAAACCATATGGATGGACTCCATAACCGGCCCATGGCCCATTAGGGTTTTACCTTATTCTCTGTATCCTGCTATTATCCTTGTATATATATCCCTTATACTATTAATGAAAGACACAGTTCACAACACTAGTTAAATTTTAGAAGTTTTGGTTTTTTTTTGTTTTTTTTTTTTTTTTTTCTTACATCCAAAATATTTCCTTAATTCAATTTTTTGGCAGTAGAAATCATTATTTTCTAAAGAAGATAATGTTTAATTTTTCAAAGTTTTAAATTCTATAGACAAAATACTACAACAATAAAATCTATACCTACAGCCAATAAATTTACAGTCATAGCTCTACAACAAAAAATGTAAAGTTACCGCTGAGGAGGAGTCTCCAACACAAGTTAATTGCACCTTAGTTTCTCTTGATCTTGACAACAATTTTCAAATATCTATATTACATCAAATATTGTTTAATGTTAACACCTTATAAGACGGCTTCTAGCAACGAATTACTTTGTGTGCTTATAAGGAGTCTGATTTTTTTTGTACAGGTTAAATGTTTTTTTTTTTTTTGATAAAACTACAGGTTAAATGTTGAGAACCCAATTTTTCATATTATACTTTTCAAAATCTGTAAAAAAAATCCATAAATTAGTTTTTGTTATATATTTTATACATGATAGCATTTCAACAAAACATCATTCTATTATGAATTAACATCATCTTGTGTAATGAATTAATAATTTTAAATTCATTGTTGAAAGTTGAAACTGATGAAAAAAAAACATAGTCACAAATCACAATCATGCTTTAATATTAGAGAACCCTCTGTCCCTGTCGAAAGGTTCATAGTCCAAGTATATACTGTATATATTTACAATGTAGTAATAAAATACTTGAATTAACAAAGACCCCATGTGTCTTAAAACACTTAGTTGTTAGAAAGACTTATTACAACTTAGCTGGCAAGGAGTTAATACAAATCACTTGTTTAAATTTGTCATTAAACAAAGAGATTCCAACTACTTTATTCAGCAGTCTTTGTCATCATCGAACTTGTCTTAGAAGTCTCTCATCCTCAATTTAAAGGTCTCACAAAGCCGTCTCTTTCGCAGAAACTATCTTTCTTCTTATTCTTTCTCAATTTCTCTCTCTCTCTCTCTTTCTCTTCTCTGTTTTTCTGATTAAAGAAGATGATGATAGATTCTGTTATGGAGCTTGTCAACAAGACTACTTCCAATTCTTTATTCATGTTCCTTTTCTGCAACTTCATCATCATTTTGATCCTCATGGGTAACTCTAAACCGGGTTCCCAAGACAAATCAAATCCCGGTTTGCAGAAACCCGTGATGTTTTCTGACTCGGTTCTCTCCTCTAAATCCGGTTTTGAGAATTCCATGATGATTTCTGAGTCGACTATCTCTTCCAAACCCGGTTTTAAGAAAACCTTGTTGACTTCTGAGTCGGCTCTCTCTTCCAAACCCGGTTCTAAGAAAACCTTGTTGAATTCCGAGCCGGCTCTCTCTTCCAAACCCGGTTTTGAGAACTTCGTGATGATTTCTGAGTCGACTATCTCATCCAAAACCGGTTTTGAGAAATCCTTGTTGAATTCTGAACCGGTTCTCTCTCCGAAACCCGGTTTTGGGAAATCAGGGTTGAAATCGAAGACGGTTCTCTTGTCCAAACCCGGTTTTGACAAATCTGTGTTGATCTCAAAGTCGTATCTCACATCTAAGCCCGGTTTACAAGAAACCGAGGTGATATTTAAGTCGAATGTCTCCTCCAAACCCGCCGGTTCTGAGCAATCGTTAACATCCAAATCCGGTTCAGATTTTACAGAGAATGATGAGAAAGGGAGATTGGAAGAGAATGAGAGCGAAATGGAGTGTGTGCTTCGTAGACGAGTCGAAGAATTTATTCGTAAAGTTAATACTCAATGGAAATCAGAAAACACTAAGAGTAATTATCTCTTAGACTAATAAAAGTTTTGTTTATACTTATGGAGTATTTATTAATTTATAGAGGTTTTACTGTAAGTCCATATTAATTACTATAAGTGAAGACATAATTGTAATTCTCTTCTCATGAATTAAATTTGGGTGACTTACACTTTGCCATACATTCTGTGAGTTTTGTATCAAAAGAGACACTTTTCAAGTTTTTCAAGTTTTTTCAACTGTACAACAATATTCAATACCACTTTGCCCCTGCACGTGGCATTACTCGTGAAGGATACTGATTGTATGGGAAATATTTAGTTGGCTTTACCTAGTTAGAGTGCATATATCTTTATTCATCCAAACATATTCACGTCACTTCTCTTTCCCTCATTCTTTTTTTTTTTTTTTTCCTTTCTCATTTTATTCTTATTATCATTTTAGTTACTTAATATGACATATATTATTTATTTTTATATATAATAAATTAAGATTTAATTTTCCCTACATTTTAAGATCCATTGTCGCTATATTAGAAGTGAATAATTATATTACATATTATCCATTTCTAATTGAACATTTGTTTATAACTAAATGGATATTCAAAGGTACTTGAACAAATATACTACACCAAAATTTATAACTACTGATTATCCAAACATATCTGTTAAACTCTGACCACATGGACGAATAAAGATAAGGTTTTTCGGTGTAATATACATCTGCCAAACTCTGATCGAGTGTTTGTTGTAACAACACCAATCACGTCGTGGTGTGTAAGTAACTTCGTTTAAATGAATAACACTAAACCCTAACTTCTACCTTATAAATCCAAACCGATATGCTATTTTAAAAAAATTTATAACACTAAACCCTAACTCCTACCTTATAAACCCAAACTAATATGTAAATTTGTTTAAATTTATAACACTAAACTCTAACTTCCTTCCCTAAAACCATCACCCATAAACCCTAAAACACTTAACTAAAACCTAAACACTAAACACTTAACCATTAACATAATCTATCCACATGGAAGTGACCATAAGAGTAGGGAAATATTCAGTCAAATTAACACTAAAATAGGACATAAAAAACTGTCCATATGAAACTTACGATGGGAGTAAGTTCCCAGTACCATTCTTGTTCTATGTGTTCGAAAAAAAAAAGAAAGTGATTGGTACCACTTGGTCTATGAAAATGACATTTACTTCGAACTTATTGTTGTCGTCCACAAAACCATGTACAAATGATATAATCTATACGAACAAATATTTGACCAAAATTTAAAATAACGATTATACAATTATTATCTTTCAAATACCAACACCATAATTCCTCTTTTATTCTCCTTCCCGTCGCTTATCTTTCTCTCATTCTCTTCTTCTTCTTTTTTTCTTTTTTTTCTTTTTTCTTTTTTTTCTTTTTTTCTTTTATTATCATTTTAGTTATTTAACATAACATATATTGTATACTTTTTATATAATAAATTAAGATTTATTTTTTCCTACATTTTAAGATCCATTTTTGCTATATTTTAAGTAAATAATTATATTACATATTATCCATTTTCGATTGAACATTTGTTTATTACTAAATGGATATTAAAAGGTACTTGAACAAACATACTATACCAATATTTATAACTACTGATCATCCAAACATATCCGCTAAACTCTGACCATATGGATGAATAAAGATAAACTCTGATCACAATTGAATATTAACCACCAAAGATAAATGATATCGCCGCCGTGACGTCTCGGTGGCCATGAGAGCATCGTTTTTTTCGTGAAGCCAAAAAAAATCAAATTCCCTAGATGAACTTGTGGATAATATGTTGTGGATGGTGAAATTGCATAACAAACATGATTAGTATGTTTTGCAGTTATTTTATGGGGATATTACAATTTTGCATTCATGTGGACGTGATATTATGGATGAGGTCTCGTGGTTGAATGTAAGGTAAAGAAAACATTACGCTTGAAAGGAAACGAGGCTAATGCAAAATATATATGTTCACGTTCATATGGATACTGGAAATGCAAAATTGATTCAAGATTAAAAACTAATTAATAAAAGACATTAACTTTCTCATATAAAAGAGATGGATAGAAGAAAAAACCTTACAAAATCAGACAAAAAGGAGTCTTACTATTACTACGTTTTGTAGTTCTTCAAAGCCCAAAACCAATGTTGGATGAGATAAGAACATTGGATTAAGAGAATTTTAGGACAAGCCTTTACGAACGAACACAAACAAAAATGTGTGCTTAATGTTCCGATGCAGACACAATTCCTCAAAGATTTACCGTTTTGATACAAATAGAGAGCAGAAGAGTCAAAACCGTTATTGGAAACTTCACCAAGCACATACAGTTACCCAAAACTTACTTTTATCTGTATTTTATCAAGCTAGTGGTTCTTTAAGTCATCCATTTATTCGAATCCAGTAGGTTAGTACATGGACGGTATGAATATGTCGAAGCGAACAATTGGTCACAATGTCATGGATGGTATGGTTATTAATGAACATAATTTGGCCGAGACGTTCGTATGCAAATCCATAGTATGCAAAGCCACACGCTCTGTTTCAATTTGGCCAACACGTTTGTATGCAAATCCACAGTACAAATGAAAGAAAAAATAAAGAGAAATTACTAATTAGTGTATAGTTGTTCACAGATAAATAGAGTATATCTCCATTTAGTGTATTTTGAATGAATCTAAAGTGTCCATTTAACTATGAACAAATGGGACAATTTTTTTGAACACATATATACACGGAAAAAGACAAGAGATTCTTTGTGCTAGAAGGTAAACTATCTCTTTGTGCTAGAAGGTAAACGTGGAGGTAAATAATCTCTTTTTTTTTAACACATATATACACAAAAAAAGAGATTCTTTGTGCTAGAAGGTAGACTTGGAGATACGTGCTAGAAGGTAAACTATTGTCATAATCGAAATGAAAAGAGATTTTTTAAAAACTGTTCTGAATTAACAATCTATCAATGGTCTTACACTCACCATTCCCACCAAGTTTACCTATAAGAACTTGATACACATCGAAGGAGTGACGATAACTTTTTTAAAAACCGGATCCATGAAAACCCAGCCTTTTGATTCTTCATGGCTGAAGTTTCTTCCTGATATATGTTTTTCCTAACGACATATTCGTAGAAAACAAAAGCGTCATTGTCCATTAGTGATTATCCAATAGGTATAGTTCATGGGTTCACCTTGTGCCATATCGAAAACATCAAAAGTAGTAAACTTCAAACAAATGAGGCAAATAAGTTATGAACATTATCACAGAACTATGACCAAGATCTCCAAGCACATAATAGTTTTATGTAAATAAAGCCATTAAACAAAGCCATAACTCTATAATCTAAGTTGAAATCTTAAATTTATTTGATAATAATCATTGAGAGAAAGAGATTTTGGAAACATTCCAATACCAGACTCGAAATTTATTCACAAAATAATGATACAAACAAGAACTATCTTTTAATAAAACTCTTACACCCAAAATAAAATGTCTCACTCCTTTTGCCTTAGATTCTTTCTTTTTACAACAGCCCACATATAAAAAACCTCATTACAAACAAAAGTTTCAGTCTCTTCGACATGTTGTCGAACACTTGGACGACATACAGAAAAAGCTTAAACCTTTCTAATTACCAATGGCGGATTCGTCTTCCGACAAGGAGAAGAAGGAAAATAGTAAGCAGCCCGTGTATCGTGGAGTCCGTATGAGGAGCTGGGGCAAATGGGTATCGGAGATTCGTGAACCACGGAAGAAATCGAGAATCTGGATCGGGAATCTTCCGACGGTGGAGATGGCGATGCGTTCTCACGACGTGGCGGCTATGAGTATCAAAGGAACTTCAGCCATTCTCATAAGCTATGGAGTAATGGAGAGATGGAGAGAGGAAGGCGGTACAAATCATGGAAGAGAGAGAGAGAGAGAGAGAGAGAGAGAGAGAGAGAGAGAGAGAGAGAGAGATAATTTCTTTTGCTATAGATCAGAATCGAGGAGGAAGAAGAAGAAAGAGAAGTGGATGAAATTAAAGGGTATAAAAGACTTTAACAGAGAGAGAAAACTTGTTGAAAGATGAAAGTGTGCCAGAGTGAAGTGTAACTTGAGAATGTGTGGGACAGTGTACATATCTCATTAAATTAACTACATCTTGAGTTATTTACCCGTAGACACACTTTCTCAAGTTATCTATCATTCTAGGCACACTTTTCTTTCTCACAAGTT